CACACAGTAAAGCCCAGCCTCAGTGGGGTGGTGGAACAGGGCACCTGCAGCTGCTGGCATTGCGCTGCCCGGTACCACGCACAGCACTGCCCTGAGCCCAGTACCGCTGTCTGGCTCTGGTGCCAACCCGTAGGCAGTGCACACACGGCAGGAAGAGCCTCCCCAAGGGATGCTCGGGTGCTGCCCAGGTTTGGCAGAACAGAACGCTTTCCGGGATGCTGGAAAGGAGCGTTCTCTCCTCCAGCAAAGCAAGGAACGGGAAGGGAAACGGAAAAGAAAACTCAGCAGAAGGCAGCAGCACGGACCCTGCTCTCCGCAGCCGAGAGCACAACAAAGCCCCACGCCAGCACCGCATTCCTGCCCAGATGTGACGCCGCGATAGCGCCGGGCCCGCGGTCCTCCTGCGCTCCCGATACAAGCCATCATTAATTAGACACAGAATGGATTTCAGCTTTGTTTCTCCCCACCCTGTTTCGGCTGCCAGACTCCAAGTAGCATGTGCTACTGATCGCTACAAGATGTTTTCCCACCGGGCTCAGCGTTCTTTGGCTGCCGAGCGGCGGGGACGGGGACAGGCAGGGACGGGGACAGGCACGGTGCGTGGCAGCAACCTGCACGGGGAAGGGAACGGCACCGCAGGGACACCTCCTCGTGTGCCATGCAGGGGGCTGTGCAGCTCCAGCACAACTGCACGCCCTGGGAGGAGCCTTGCCACGATGCACGGTGCACTGCTATGCACACACACACCTGTGGGTGCTCACACACAGGAGAGCCCACCGCCAGCAGAAGCCCCACAAACCACCCCCACAAACAGCGCTGTCCCAACACAGCCCCAAGGAACTCAGCAGCCGTTTTGCTCTGGAGAAAGCTCCAGCACTTTTACAACCAGTCAGCCATCCCATCACAGCGCTTTTCGGTGGTTTTTTTTGGTTTTTTTTTTTCCCCTCTCTCCCCCTCTTTTAAAGGAAGCAGTTAAATCCATTTTATAGAATCTAGTGGTATTTACCCAGCTACTGCAAGAGCCGCAGCTCGGCGCTCACTGGCTGTTGTTTTTTTTTTTTATGGAAGTTAATGAAGTCGTTCCCAGGAGACACGCAGAGCCCCAGGTCCCCCCAGCACAGCGCAGGCAGGGAGCAGACCCGCTCCCAAAGCACTCAGCCATCCCAACACCCCAACCACTGGGAGAGGCTCTGCGGGGAAACTTAGGGCTGGGCTCAGACTGCTGGGTCTCACCTCACCCAGAGCAGCCTCAGGAGGTCAGACAAAGCCCCCAGACACAGCCATGAGCTCAGGACGTGGCTACGTGGATGAAGACCCCGATGGCACAGCATCCCCTGAGCACCCTCAGTGAGCAGCACAGAAACAAAGCCATAACGTCGGGCCCCCAGCACCACGCTTGCAGAACTCCACAGGACACCATCAAGTCTTTAAAGCAGAACAAAAATACCACCAAGGATCAGACGTCGGGCTGCGTCTGGTCAGTCTGTCTGTCCTTCCCTCCCCACCCCACTTCTTTCTCTCAGTTTTGTTCTTAGCAAGTTGCTCACGGCCCTGCAGGGCCACAACAAGAGCAAATCGGGAAGGATTTATAGAAGGAAGAGAGAGAAAAGCTGCGCAGGAACGAGAGATCCCTAAAAGCTGTGCGGATGATGTGTCCCATTTCCCCCACCTCCTTATTAAAATGCTTTCTGGAGAGCCGAATTCCAGGCCGAAATGAATTTTCCAACCCATATTTTATTAGGAACGCTTCCTTTTAACGCTTGGCGCAGGAGCCCACCAGGGTCAATATTTCTCCTGAATTACAGCCGAGGGATCGCAGAGCGGATTTCGCCAGAATTCCTCGTGCCATTCCGGGCTGTTTAACAATAGCAGCAAACCCCAAGCACTGACTGCTAAGTAGCGAAAGGGCCGATTCCATCCCTGGAACCACACTCCAGCTCCCCCTCCCATAAACGCAGGGAACGGTTTGCAGAGAGCCCCGTCAGACACGATGGGATAAAATTAAAACCAGATCGGTTCGCCAAGACCCCTTAAAGGGGCTCTGCTCACATCCACGAGAGGCACCACGTGGAGCCCAAACTTGCCCCAGGCACAGCGTTGCCAAATGGCAGCCCTTCACCCAGCACAGCCACTGCACGCCTGCGTTTTCCTTCCTTTAAGGACACGGAATTATTCACGGTGCAATTACAGCAACAAGTCTGGAGCTCAGAGCTCGCACCAGGAGCTTTCCCAGCTGAGGACTAAGCTGGTCCCAACACGTGTAGGAAAGTGAGGAAATCATCCTGCTATCAGCTGTGTTATCAGTGCCCCTCTGATGACAATGTCAGATGAGAACCACCCATGCACTGTGCCCATGCACACCATGGGCTGCCCGGGGATAACAGAGGGCAGGAGAATATTTCCATCAGTCAGAGCAGCACACCAAGGCCAAGTGTCCAACGCACAGCACGTTTTACTCCTATCTGCTGGAAAGTTCCACTTCATTATGTTATTTCTTTACTCTAGAAATAAACACGAGAGCTCATTGTGCTGCATTCAGAGCCAAAGGAGCCCTGGGATCGGAAATGGGAGCCCAGCACCCACGTGGTTCGGTGACCCCGGGGATGGCAGCGGTCCCAAGGAGTGCAGGATTGGGGCAGTTTGGGCCTTTTCACTGTGTGAGGCTTCTCTGGCCCTTCTTAAAAACATGCCCGTTCATTGGGCTGGCAGAAGCGGCTGCAAAGGGGCTCTGCCCAACTCCACACCAGCACAAAGGCATAAAAAAAGGGAAGAAAAAGAAGAAAAAAAAAAGAAGCAAAAGAGAAGCTGGAGGGGTGATGGGGATGGGAAACGACACAGCGTGAGCCCACACCACTCCGGGCACGGCGCTGCCTTTCCAGCACCTCCTCCTGCAGCATCACCCCACGGCACGGCTGTGACAGCAGCGAGCCGTGCCCCCAACCCCACACACACAGGGAAGGAACCCAGCCGGCCCCGAGAACAGCAGGACGGATCCCCACCCGCAAGGCTGGGGACTCGCACAGCGATGGACACAAACCCACAGCCGGCAGCGTGCAGCTGGCGACACAACGGCCCCTCGCACGTGCAGCACCGCCCGGCGCTCAGCCCCGCTCCGCCGTGCCGCCCCGCAACCGCCCGGACCCGCACCGCTCCCTCCAGGCTCGCTCCATCCCGGCCGCTCAGCTGCGCGGCCCCGAGCTGCACCGCACGGCTCGGCACGGCCCGGGATCGGCCCCGGCTGCGGGCATTTCCAAAAGCCCCGCACAAAGAACTGAACCCCCCCGGCCCACCCGCACCGCCCCGCCCTGCCCGGCAAACTCCCCCAACTCCAACGGAGCCCCTTTTTCGTATCAGGTGGTGGCGGTTTCTGGAACCAATTTGCTTTTTCCTCACCCTCCCACCCCTCCGTGCTGACTGAGCAGACTTAGAAACACCAAAGATCAGTTCCTAAGGGGAAAAGTTCCCCTTTTTATGTCTTTTAGCTCCGAGCTAAGAGACGGATCTTCAAAAAGAGGGGGAGAAAAAAAAAAAAAAAAAAAAAGAAATAATAAAAAAAAAAAAGAGAGAATTAACTTATTGGAGTTCCTACAGCCTCCAGAGACCTCTTCCAGCTTTTCCAACACGCTGAATTAGAATTCAAGACTTTGTCTGCACGGCGCTCCCCGCAGCCCCTTCGGGACACACCACAAACGTTCGGGTTGAAGCGAATGTCCGACTGGGAAGGGCTCCACGTGGGCTCAGATCCCTCCAAACCTCGAGAGCGCGACGGACTTTTTTCTTTTGAGAAATATGGAAGACGGGGAGGGGGGGGAACCGAGATAAAAACCAGATTATTTCTTCCCTCAAAGCGGAGAAGGGGTAAGATAAACAAACAGCCCGCGATTTACAAGATAAAACCCAGCGAGAGGGCTACCAAAAACATCCCGATATAATCGGTCCCAAAACATCGACGGCTCATTAGTGACCGCGCCGAGCGCTTAAAGCTCTTTTCAGGCTCCTTCGCCCCTCTCCATTGCGGGAGCGAAGGGAAAGCCACGCGCATTGTTCGCGTCCCGAAACCACGGGCGCAGCCGGTGGGGGTTGGGACTCGGTTTCCCCGCGGTGCCCATATTACAGGGAGGACAGATTCCCAGCCCGCACCCCCGGCACCACCCGGGGGGAACACAGGAGGGGGCACGGCACCGCCCGAGCCCCGCACCCGCACACCTGCTTTGGGGCAGAAAAGCGCCGTTTTTGAGGCTTTGGAAGGCCGGAGCCGGAGCCAAACCCCCCCCCCCACACACACACACACACCGGCCCCCGGCTCAGTGCTGGGCAGCTCGGTCCCCCCACACCAAAGCCCCCAGATTCCTGCACAGCGCTCCGGGGGGGCTCAGCCCGCTCCTCCTCCCCAGATTCCTCAACAGCCTATTTATAAAAGGAAAGAAAAAAAAAAAACAAAAAAAATACCACTAAAAGCCAGCCTAATGCTGGGCTCGCCACACCGAATCCAAGCCCGGAGCGGAGCCCACCTCCCCCCACACCCCTCACGCCCCCCCTCCTCGGCAGCCCGAGCGCTGCAGGGCGCTCCCGGTGCCTCCAGGCGGGACGCGACGCGCTCCCAACATTCCGGACCAGAAAAAGAAAAAAAAAAAGAAAGAAAAAAAAGCAAAGAAAAAGAGGCACCACCCGCCCGGGCGGCAGTGAAGCGAGCAGAACGCCGCCGGTGCAGCGCTGCAGGGGTCAATATTCCAAGGGGGGGTTCCGTCCGTCCGTAGAACGCAGCCTCGAGCTCCGGGCGGCTCCGGCGTCCGGCGGCAGCTCCGCACGGCGCGGGCGCTCTTCGCGGCACCACCGACCGCTCCGCTTCCGAGACCACCGAGGTTATTTTAAATAGATTTTTTTTTCCTCGCTCTGGGTTTTTATATATATCTATATATATATTTTTCTTTATCCTGCCACCGGGGGAGGGCGAGGCGGGCCCCCCCGCACCCCCCGCGCCCCCGTTTTGCCGCACGTACTTGGGGTTGCCGGCGCTCCAAGAGACGGGCTCCAGGCTCTTGGCGAGCGGCGCGGCCAGGCGGCACAGGGCGAGCAGCACCCCCAGCAGCCACCGCCCGCCGCGGGGCCGCGCCATCGTCCCTCGGCGGCGGGACGGCACCGGGCGTCAGGCGCCCATGCCGCAGGGCTCTCCGTTCCTCAGCCCCGCATCGGCGCCGCGCAGCCCGCGGGCAGCGCCCCGCCGCCGCCGCCGCCGCCGCCGCCCTCCTTCTCTTCCTCCCGCTCCTCCTCTCGCCTCGACGACGGCTCCGGCTCGTCCCCTCCGCCGTCCCGGCTCGCACAGCGCCGCCGCCCGCCGTGCCGCCCCCTCTACTCCCCTTCGCAGGCAACCGCACGGACGACTCAAAGCGGAACGGCCAATCGCCGTTCGCCCCGACGGGGCCTTCGAGCCTCGGGCACGCCTCTCTCCGCCCCCACTGTCTGTTCTTAAAGGGCACGCACCGCCTCGCGGCACCCCCCCACCACACGAGCGGGCGGGGCCGGGGGCCGTGCCGGGGCCGGGCCGTCGGGGCGGTGCGTGCCCTTTAAGAGCCGCCGGCGGCGCCCAGACAGCCCGGCCCCGGCCCGCCCCCCCGGCCCCGCCCCCCGGCCCAGCCGCGATCCAATGGCGCCCCCTGGCGGTACCGCGGCGGCCGCTGATTGGCCGAGTGCCGCGCCGAGATTTGCCGCGCGCTTCCCACGCCCCTCGGGACGGGCACGGCGCTGAGCACCGCCGGGGGGGGGGGAACACGGGGCGTTGTTCTGCCGGGAATGTGAAAGGGCTCCGGCTGAGGCTTATTGCCCCTTAAGTGCGGGTAAATGGGCCACGCTAAAAGGGATTTGTCCCCTTTTGTGGGGACGGAGAGGGGAGATTTGCAAGTCGGAGCATCTCCGGCTGATTGCTCTTTTCTTTTTTTTTTTTTTCCTCTCTGAAACTTTCTAAGGTTTGGGGCTTCTGATTTTTAGCTTCGTCACGAGGAGTGAGGTCACTGCGTTCAACAACGAGAAATCTGAAATGAATTTTCATTCAAAGTATCAGCCAAGCACTTGGAGTCGGCTGGGTGCCTCCATCAGGGGCAGCTCGCGTTCTACTACGACTTTTTTAAAACATAAACTCCCAAGTCGGATCGTTTTCCATGTAGGAAATCCAAAATCCCCTCGTTTTGAGACAGCCTTAAATGCCCTCAGCGCCCTCGCTCTTTCATTCTGCACGTTTCTCTTTTCCGGCGCCTCGCACGGCACACCCCTGCCATCCAATTGAAATCGACGTTTATTGGGTTTCTGTTTAAAAAGAAATTAAAATCGGGAATTAAATGTGTTGTTAAATTGAAGCTGTGCAGATGCTTTCCCTCGGCCAGGCCATTCCCGGCTCCTTAAATCAGGTTACACCGCGCCTCTCACAGCCAGTTGGAGTCCTGGAGACAATTGTCGGTTTGATTTAAACTAAATGAATGAGTCTATCAATTGCTTCTCCAACGACACCTTAATTCAAAAAAGACAGAAAAAAAAAAAAAAATCGAGGAAGGAGGAAAAAAAAAAAATAATCGTTTTCATTTTAGGTGGGAGGATTTCGAGCCTACCATAATGAGTTATATTGCAACAAAGGTAATTATTCTAAGCGAGCTGGCTGGGGAATTGAAAACTGCATTAAAGCGTCAGTGACTTCCCTCCTGCATCTCCCATCGCTGCTTCCCATCAGAGAAACACGTACGTGGCACGGAGCGGGCGCAGCCCCGGGTCGGTCGGCCAGCCCCAATGCCCCCAGGCGCTCCGAGGGACACGTCGGGCACAGCCCGGTGCCGTCCCGGTGCCCGGAGCTGCGGCCAGGAGGAGCCCCCCCCACCCCCCGGCCGGTGGCAGCCCCAAGGTGTTCCTGTCCAATAATCTCCGCAAATGACATCACGATTAGTTGCCATGGCGACGCCTGCTCACAGCACAACGGCTCAGGTGGGAGATGGGGAGCCGAGGAATTCTGAAACGGGAGAATGGTGCTTTTACGCCTTGCCGGTGCCAAAAGGACTGCGATGGGCAGAGAGGAAACGAAGCAAAACAGCTTGGGATGCCGCCCGAGCCCCGCGCTGGGCGTTGAAACGCACTGCCCATCAGCCTCACGTGCAGCACAGCACAGCGCCGTGCCACCTCCACTCCGCCGTGCCCAACCCTGCTGGTGCTGGTGCACACAAAGGCCTTTTGCCTTCGGCATTTCAGCTGTTTTTTTCCAAGGAAAATGAGGCCCAGGGTCTGTCTGCAAACAACCCGGCACGTTGGGGTTGTGTTGTTGAGGTCTCTCAGACCCCAAACCAAACCAGTGGAGACCAGTTTGGTGCTAATCAACGCTGGTGCATCCTTAGGATGAAGGAAAACGCAGCCATGTGAGCAGCGTGAGCCGGCTGTTGTGGGCACTCGTTACAAGCTTAAGATAGGCAATGTCAACAGCGAGCATCCAAAGGTCACCTGGTGCCTCTTTATCGTGGGCTGAAATGGTATGTACATACCTGACACACCAGTATAGCTGTGTGCTCCTGGGCTGTGTCAATATCCAGTCTAACTCGGTGTTTTTATTGTTTCTTCCTGTACTGGAATTTCTCAGTGGAAGAATGGACACAAAATCGAACAGTCCTGGCGTGGGAAAGGCAGCCCGGCTCAGGGAGAGGATCCCTGGGCTGCAGCCCAGCTGGTATGGAGGGATGGACACCGGGCTGTGAGGATGGGACACACCTTCCCACTGCCACCATCACCACGGACACAAACCCTGCTTTTCTAACCGAGGCAATCAAGGAAATTTGTGACACCAACTGAGGCTGATACCTCAGAATTAAGAAGAAAAAAACAAAAAACTGATTGAGGAATGGCTCCCGGCCTCAGCTGGTGATCTCTGTGACACCAGTGAAACCCAAGGGCTGTGTGCAGGCAGGGGCAGGAGGAAGGGTTTGCTATTTTGGGGCAGCAGGGGAAAGACTGCAAAGTAGTTGCTGGGCTGAATGCTGGCTGGGGAGGTGCAGTAGGGAAAGGACACCCCATCCTTCCCCAAAAGCCCAGGCTCTGTGAGCCCTCCTCTCACCTAAACAAGTAGCAGGAAGGTGGGGAGACACTACCAGCAAGCTGACATCTAGCCTGTCCCTGCTTGTCACCCCCAGAAGCAATGAGAATTCAATGCTCTCCCCATTTTCTGCCTCTCTCCTTCCCCAGCACATGCTGGGTTAGTGGGGATATCCTCCCTCCAGCCACCAGCAGAGCCTCACCCCATCCACATCTCCCCGCAGACACAGAGCGCCCTGAGGCAAAGTTTGGGTCTGGAGGACAAGGAACTGAGCCAAGGTTTCCTCACCAGGCTTTGCCTGTGTGCCTCACCCATCTTCAGGGGCACGTCCAGGAAGGGCAAAAGGGACAGAGAGGGCACAGAGCGTGTGTGCACAAGCAGTGCATGCACAGAGAGTGTGTGCATAAACACTGCGTGCAAGGAGAGTGTGCATGGGCCGTTTGCACAGAGAGCACGACGTGTGTGCAGTGTGCACGGTGGGACTGTGCTGCACACAAACACACCTGACCCCCCAACGGCCAAACTTCTCCCCCTTTCCATGCACCCAGAGTGCTGCCCCCAGCCTGCTGCCTGCACACAGCACTCAGCCAGGCACCGGGGGAAGCAGCACCCATAAGATCCCATCCCCTGGGCAGAGATGTGCACAGGGGCGTGGGGGCAAACACAAACACACGTGCATCCCAGCCCCAGCCCAGCTGTCAGGCATTCCTCTGTGGCACAGACACAGACACTGCGAGGAGAGCAGGCTGTGGGGGTACAAAATCACAATGGGGGCTTGGCCCACAGCTCTGGTGCAGCAGTCAAGGGTGGCTCTTGCTGCTTTTGATGTCTCCCCAGGACAGCTGCCTGGAGCATCCAGTGTCACTGCTGTCATGAGCTGTGGAGCCCTCAGCACTGCAGGATGCTCCTGTTGCAGCTGAGGGTCCCCAGCCCAGCCCTGCAGCCGCTCTCTGCCCATCCCAGTGCCCACTGCCCGTTCCTTAGCACCTACAATCACACCCTCATCGAGGGATGAAGGTCTGCATCATCAGATGTATTCCACAGCCTCTTCATATCGAAATTACCTGAGACAGTTTATAGCAAGAGAGCGATGGGATGGAATGGAGCAAAAGAGAATTTAGGCTGAGCACCTGGAGAAAGTGCTTAGTGCTGAAATCTGCAGGATGGCTCCCCCAGGGAAGCGGGTTGGAGTTATTTAAAACTCACCTAAATAAAAGCCAGGAGGGAATGAACTCCACTTGTCCCACAGGCGTGGGCACGGCGGGACCTGGGGGACGCTGCCCGAACTACTTTCTGTGCTGAAACACGTGAAGGCTCACACAGCTGAACTCGTGCGGCCCTGGGCTGAGCAGAGGGGAAAGCAGTGGGGCTGCATGGCAGGGAGTGAGGAATCAGAACTCGTGGCTGAGCCAGGAGCCCTCCATAAGGAAACAGATGGATTTTTGGAATAGCGGCATGCCGGATGCACGGAGCTCTCCGATGAGCCGTGTGGCTCTTAAATAGCAAACAGCCAGGCTGAGAGGGTGCCAGAAAGCCTATGTTACCCTGCAGGACCACAGGATCGGATTCAGAAATGAAGGTGATGTCAAGGATTTTCCCTTGCTGTGATTTATACCGTCATTCTGGTGCTCAGACTCCTGGAAACTTGCACCTTCTGCAGATGTGCCGGCTGATTAAAATGACGCAACGTAGTCGCTAGCTGGGTGATGTGATTTAAATTAAAAGCCCACATTCCCACCGAAAATGTGCTGTGGCTGCTGGCAGCCTCCTCACTGCCACGTCCCACCTGTGCAGGCAGCAGGTGTGGGGCTGCGGGGAACCAGCCTGGCCCTTTGTGCGCTCCCAGGTCCTCCAGCCATGGGAAAAGGCAATTCCCACCCGCTGGTCTCTGGCGGCAAGCTGGGGCTGCGGGCATCGGGCTGCTGGGATAAGGAGCAAGCGTGGAAATCAGCAGCACAGAATGCTTGGGTTCCAGAACCCACGTTTTATGGGGCTGGGAAATCTGCTGCATTATGGTCCAGGGAAGGAAGTATTAAAATCCTTAACCAGTTTTGAGAGATGCGATAATTAAGGTGTTGTAAGCTACCATTGCCTGGAAAAAAATGGAAAAAAAAAAAAAAGAAAAAAAAAAAACCACCACAAGGGCAAGGAGTGTGGTGTGATTTTACCACTGCAGAACTGGTCAC